AAAAAGAAATAGTCATTTCTTCCTATTCATCTCATAGGTACATTGCATTTAACTGAATGCCTTTCAGACATTCTGAATGCCAACTGAAAAGATGATTGCAGGGTATTTTTTAAAGATTTTAAAAAATATTTCAAATACCCAGAAAAGTACAAAGAATATAGAACATGAGGGTATAGCTAACACTCAGATCTAGCAAGTATTAACACTGTGCTGTGTTCAGGTCAGTTCATGGTACACAGGTACATGTACGTGTGTGTACGTGTGTGTGTGTGTGTGTGTGTGTGTGTGTGTAAAGAAATCAAACCTCACTGTCCAGGAAAGCCAGCCCCACCCTTGCCTCTTCCCCTCCCTAGTTGTTTATCTTCCCCATATGTAGTTTATATTTTTTTTATGTTTATAGCCATATAAAAATACTCAGTATTATTTTAACTATTTTAAATACTTATATAAACAGGATGCTATATGCATCCTTTTATAACTTTGCTTTTCTCTCTCAACATTATGTTCATTCCTTTAAACCATTTTGCCATATGCCATTGTGTGAATAAACCACAATCTACACATCCATCTCCAGTAATGGAAAGTTCAGTTGTTTTGACTTGGGGGTTTAATTAATATCATGTAACTATGTAGTTTCAAAGCTTTAGACTGAACCAAGTATTTTGACTGCTAATATTTATTATAGTAAATACTTACCAATCTTTCAACACTTCTGTAACATTTAGAGTCTTTATAATTGGAGCTCATGAACTAGATGAAACAAGTATTCTCAGAATAAAGCTTCACCTACAAAAAAAAAAAGACATATCAATGGCAATAGTAAAACACAAATAACTTTAACAGAATTCTGACATAAACACCAGTGGCCCGAGTTCAGGGGTGGGACCTGGAGCCCCACTTCTGGTGGCAGGGTCTGGAGAAGGGGCAGCAGGCGCCATGTCTGGCCGCGAGGTGGCAAGAAGAAGTCCCTGAAGTGGCCCAAGAAGCAGCCAAGGAGGTGGACGAGGAAGATAAGGCGTTCACACAGAAGAAAAAAGAGGAGCAGAAAAAACTCAAGGAGCTAAAAGCGAAGGCCACGGGGAAGGGCCCGCTGGCCACAGGTGGAATTAAGAAATCTGGCAAAAAGGGAGCTGTTCCTTGTGCCTGGGGCAATGATGACCCTTAATTCCACTCCTGTTTTAACATCTGAATTCCCTGCCTTAACACCTGTTGCCATCTATAGCTAGAATGAAGTACTGTCTTGGAGCCTGTTGTGCATTTAAGAATAAACTTTTGTAAAATAATAACAACAATATAATTTTAAAAACCAGTGGCCCATATTCACATCTGATGTATTAAACAGCCAGTGAATTTTGGAATCTCAAGAGCACACTAAAAATGCCTGGAGATTCAAGAACGGGGTCTTGACAGAGGGAGTTTTAGAATGTATTTGATCTGAACAAGGCAACTTAATTGTAGCTCCCTACCCCTCCTCTCCCAGTGCCTAACTTACAACCTCCAGGAAAATCACCAGTTAACTATGAAGGAAGGAGATCAGACCAGTATCAGTCTTCTTAACACTGGAATCTAGCAGAGAGAGGTACAGCATCTATATGTTATGGACAGCCAAGTTACTGCTTTCTATAAGACTTGAATCTAAAAGACTCGAGGATATATGAGAACTCAGTATTTGCTAAAACCAAACAATGAATAAACCACCACCAAATTTCATCTCCTTGCTGAATTTTTTACATGAACCAATCTTTTGTGTACGATACAATGCAGGATATTTCTAGAATACTAAAGAAGAAATTCCTATTACCAGGACAGCAACAAGATGCTTCTCTTTCGTTACCTGTTTTCCTCTTCACCGTAGTTTTTACCAAGCCAAGGCATGAAAAAGATTTCTTTATTCTAGTTACAAGGCAAACATGAAAGTTTATTTTGAACCACAAGTTTTTTTAATCAGAATGATCTTTAATTGCTTCAAAGGCTCAAATCCAGAGAACTGTCTTGAATTCCTTTCATCGTGCAAACAGCTCTTGCACCACACACTGACCTGGGCACTTGAGGATAAAGTAGGCAGGAAATGGGACAGAGCTGCCATTAGACTACACAGGACTTTGTGTGAATTAGGAAAAACTAGCTCTTCCCACTGATGCAGCCCCACACCAGGCACACAGCTCTCAAAGCACAGGCTAGATTTCAGTCCCACTCACCCACTCTGCTCACCAAGCACCACTGGCCAGTACATCGACTGCCCAACCTAATGGAACAACCTTGGGATGGAGTCCCCAACACACCTTCCGTAGCTGCTCCTGCCGCCTCCTGAACTAATCAAAACCCTCCATATGCAATGCGGGTGCCAAAAAAATGTATACAAGTGGGCACATTGGTCAATGTTGCTCAAGCAGTAGTTCGCCACAATCAGAAGTGGCTGGACGCTGATGGCAACCACTTTGAGCACCTCTTGTAATTGCAGAAGTCAAACATGACTTATATTCATCTTTTGTTCCAGTTAATTAAAATTGAGCATTACAATTTTAATACAATTTTCCTTTCTTAAAATGTGTATACATTTTTTTGTCACCCTCTGTATTTTAACTCTAAAATTATGGAAGGGGAAATTCTCAATCAAATCATGACGATAGAGATGAACTGCTCCGACGAGTAGCACCCAGTAGCTTGGACAAGAAGAAGCCATCTATCTTGCGATGCTCAGACAATTCCAGCTACCTCAGCATGGCCATCAGAAGTGAAAGCTGACAGGCAATTGGATCTGTCTGTTTCTCTCTCTTATCAAGAGACATTTCTAGGTCAAGAGGAGGGATTTCTCTAATGCTCTTAAACTAGCATGGCTTCTTTATCTCTGTATTTTGCAAAGCCCAGCTTGGATATCCATGGAGTTTCACAAGCTCGGAATTGTGTTGCCAGCACAGTCAGCTGTGCCCTCCTTTCCTCTGCTGCCACTCTTTATACACAGCTGTATTCTGGTTTTTAATCACCGTACAACATATGGGGTGTCCATAAAGTCTGGAAACACAGTTTTTAAAAATAGATTGAAGATGCCCTTAAGGGCATTATATATATATATATATATATATATATATATATATATATGTATTTGCTTTTGGTTCCAAACTATGTGGACGCCCTGTGGTTACTTATCTATATGACTATTTTATCCCCTAGGTCACAAGTTTCTTAAGTCCAGGGACCCTGATTTATTACTTTAGGCACTTTATAGCTATAATGCCAAATTTTAAATGTATCATCATTACCATAATTTTCAACTTTTAATGCAACTATTACTATAATGCCATAATAAATAAAACTTAATCCCAACATTGCTAGAATTTTTATATTCTTAAAATTTACCATAAATGAAAAGTATAATAACAAAATGCCTAAAATCATATAAATGACC